TTGGTAAATGATGAATTTTGTCAGCTACCTGATTATTATCTTAAACTATCAATTATGCCTATATGTTAAAAGATTCAGATTTTGCTGGTGACTAATTCATCTGGAGTAGTGGAAAGGGTTTTGGTTTGCAAGTCAAGAGACCTAGGGTCGGACCCATGCTCTGCAACTAGCTCTGCAACCTTAGCGAAGTTACATCCCCTGAGGTATTGGGTAAGAGGATTTTTAAGGTTCCTCCATCCCTAACTTTCCTAACTCAATTATAGGTGTAGTTGTAGCTTTGTTTTTCACATGCTAGATATTTTTAATGTCTCTGCAAGTTGAAGCTTTTATGCTCAGCAGAGCATCCAAAAATCTATTTAGAATGTTATCATTAAGACCTCATTTATTTCCCAGAGGAGCTCTAGGACAGAAACCGGAGACTTTTCCAAGATAGGTGAATTTGTTACTGTGCATGAATCTGGAACTGCCAGACCCCAGCACTAATAGTCTGTGTTGCTTTCTTTTAAAAACTACTCAGTTTCTACAAACATGTCCAGCTTCCACTAGACTTCCTTGATCATTACTGCATTTTGCATTCTATCACTCCATTGTGTTGTAGTTAAATGTTCTTTGAATAAAAGGTGATCATGTTTAACTGCTACTACATTGAGTAGTGAGCTTTTGGTATACCTTCCCGAAGCAAGCACTGATGAGTGAACTTTTTGGAAATGCTCAATAGAAAAGCTTCTCATGGGTGTGTCTCCAGACACAAGGCTCTATTTCCCAGGATAAAGCAAAGTCTTGTTAAAGCCTAGACATTTCTAATTACCTGTGGCATATGCAAATTATTCAGATTTCATGAGTCAAGGTTTACGATAGTATTAAATGATCTATCAGAATAAAACCATTCTCAAAAAATTTATGTGTGTGATTGGCTTTGATGGCATCTGTCTTATGTTTGGTATCCTGTTGTGTCACTTCTGGCTTGTCAGCCATAGGCAGAACAAGGCTCTGCTGTCCTCAGAAATGTAGAAATACAGGCTCCAAACTCATTGTGCCATCATTTTGTAGCTGCTGCCATACTTGTTCTTTATCTACTCTCTATCTCTGGCTTGGGAATTTCCTAACCATTTTCTCTCGGCAACTTTTTCTTTTTGACACAATGTTGGCTAGTTTTTAATCTCCCAGAGATTTTTGTTTTACGTTAGTTATTTCAGGTCATTTGGTCAGTAATTAGGAATCTTTCACTTCCTGTTTCTCTGTTTTGATTTTTCACTGGACCTATCACACTTATTTCATTCCCCCACTCCCACCCCCCTCTGAGGAGGAGTTTTTCCTGGCATTTACCCCTTTTCCAGCCTGTCTCCACATGATTTATTATAATCCTCCTTAACCCTTATCCCGAACCCCGTGCCCTTTCTGTTTCCATAGTCATTTGTCCTTCAGTAGCCACACTAGATAGGCTAGGCTTTTTCACAGGAACTGTACTACATTTTTTCACACTTGAATTCTGGTGCGTAGAGGCTGCTCCACCCATTACATAGTGCAGCCTGCAGAGTTTCTGCTTCCCTCAGGGAAACAAGTGACAATGTTATCTAATCCTACCCATAGCATTAGGGCTGAAGATATGTTTTTATTGATTTGAGAGAGAGAGAGATGTGAGAGAGAAACATGGATTGCCGCAACTGGGGATCGAACCCACAACCTAGGTATGTGCCCTGACCCGGAATTAAACCTGAAACCTATTGGTGTACAGAACGATACTCCAACCAACTGATCCACCTGGCCAGGGCATTACAGTGAATTTTTAAGAGTAAATGATTCCTTTTTTATTTTTGGATTGGCCTCTAGCACATCAGGTATTATTTAGAAAGGCTATGCTGTGAGGTGGCATGATCATTAACTAGTTTGTAATTTCTCCAACGTGTATTTTAAATATTGTGGTATTTCAGTGTTTCCCAAACGTCAGTTATTTGCATACACCTTCACAGTCTTCATTATCTGTTCCACCTGTACGGGTATTACTATTTTTCTTCAAACCAATTCACATTTTTTACTCAAGTAGATTTTATTTTTAAAATTTGTATCATACTATAAATGTGAAATCAGTATAATTCACAATAAATAGACATGAAGAGTTAAATATTATTAGAGCCTAGCTAAAAAGTACTGCTTGTTGAAGGCTTCCATCTGAGGAGGATCAGAAAGCCTCTGGGAGTGTAGGAGACACTATCACCAGACTAACACTATATCTATGTAATCATTGGAACTGGAAGAGAATTGAAAGGCAATAATTTTCTCACCAGGTGAGTCAGTATTATTTCATACTGTTTCTGTGCAGCATCAAAAATCCTCCCTCTTGCCCAGCTGGTTTGGCTCGGTGGATAGAGTGTTGGCCTGTGGACTGAAGGATCCCGGGTTCGATTCCGGTCAGGGGCACATGCCCAGGTTGTGGGCTCGATCCCCAGTGTGGGGCGTGCAGAAGGCAGCCAATCAATGTTTCTCTCTCATCACTGATGTTTCTAACTCTTCCTTCCTCTCTGAAATCAATAAAAATATATATTTTTTAAATCCTCCCTCTTACTACCCACAGAATATTGTAACCCCATCTAGTTTTCAGAATGAACTCAAAAACTATACATCAAAGCAGAAAAGTCTTTAAAACATTGATCTCTGAGAAAACTGACAATATTTGCTCTCCTTGGATTTGCCCAAATTAATAAACTTGGTTATGTTTCCAGGCTAACAAAGAAATGATGGACAATAGAAGTTACTCTAATCTGCCGGGAAAAGTGCCTGTCTTCCCTGATTCTGCCCACCTGCCGCTGAGCAGGTCCTTCTATCTGGACCCCATGGTCACTCTCCACTTGTACCCCGAGGCCTCGGTGCCATCCCCTTACTTTGAAGACCTGCCATTGCTGCCCTTTTCCAGTGATTCGCTGGCCCTGGGAAATTACAGTGAGCCCTGCCCCTTCTCCTTCCCAGTGCCTTATCCAAATTACAGGAGGTGCGACTACTCCTACGGGCCCTCCTTTATCCGGAAAAGGAATGAACGGGAAAGGCAGCGTGTGAAGTGTGTCAACGAAGGCTATGCCCAGCTCCGACATCACCTGCCGGAGGAGTACCTGGAAAAGCGACTCAGCAAAGTGGAAACCCTCAGAGCTGCAATCAAGTACATTCATTACCTGCAGTCTCTCCTGTACTCTGATAAGGCCGAGACCGAGAACAACCCTGGCAAAGGTCCCACCATCATAGCAACTGCCAGCCGCCACACGGACCCCATTTTTAGAATCATTTGACTCTGGTTCCAAATAGAAACAAATAATATCACAAAATGGGGTTTCATAACGTCATGCAGTAGTTTTCCCTAAATGTAATTTCTGTGTGGGCAGGTAATAGCTCGGATTAACCTGTGCTGGATATTTCCTACCTGGGTTTCAGGTGCACTAAACATCATCTTCTCTAGATTGAGAAGATGCTTCTTAAGCACTTTAGGGGAGCCGGAGTCCCAGGATTCTCTATACCTCTCACCTTGCCCTTCTCACATCCTTCGCCAGAGTCTCAGCCATGAGAAACTTAAAAGCATTGTGTGAGGAATGGTTCCTGAATACTAGTAGTGCACTGTGCTAACCCTCATGCTAAGCAAACACAACGAACTCCCTTGATTTGTCAAAGTTTGGTGTTTTTTATGATTTGGGGTTGACAATAAATCTATGCCTTACCCATGTCATGATGGGGAAGTGTCTCAGGTCTGTGGCAAAAGTAGTTAACAAAACCTTGTCATTTCAAGTTTTTTCAGAGTCATCTTTTTCCTGCACAGAGAATACTTCCTTAGGCAGCTTAGTGTAGAGGGTAAGAGGTCAAGCTCTGGGATCAAACTGCTTCAGTTTAAACTGTGATTCTGCTACTTCCTCTCCATGTTTCAGCTCTTCATCCACAGAATGAGAATGAAAAGAGTAGCAACTACCCAATATGTTTACTATGAGGATTAACAGGTTAGCAGTGCCTGGCACGTAGTAAGTATTTATAATTATTATTGGTGTCATTATTATTATTCTCCTCTTGTTTTGTCCATAGCATCTCCATTCTCCAGGTTCTTTCAGCCAGAAAACCTGCAGCTGCCTTCACCCCTGGGAAGGACAGTCGCTGCCCCATATCTTGGAGTTTGCCTTCAGAATATCTGTTCCTCTTCCCATGACTAGGCTCAGCTCTTCCTTCTCCCTTAGCTCCCAGGTCCCATCTGTCACCAGACTCAGTCAGGACTTCCAGTACACTGTCACACTCATCTCCACTGTGATTCTCCATGACGTCTGCCCACCCCTGCCATTACCTGCTTCTTTGTTTTGTATACACATTTCTGTGCAGTTTCTCTCCTGCTATCCTTACACGCCATTACACACCTCTCTATCTTCTTCAGTAGACCGTAAGCTCCTTGAAGATAGGGACCAGTCTTACTCTTCCTGTTCTCTTAGCACCCAGCAAAGAGCCTCAAGTCAGGCAGGTGTTGTCAGGAAATATTCGGTGTTACTATTTTCCTCTTCCTACCCTGTTACGTGCCTGGGTAACTGTTAACAGTGTCCTCCCTGGCCTCCCAGGCTCTGTTCTCAACTGACTCCATCCTCACTCTGTTCTTCCTGAAAGCATTACATGCCACTTCGTTGCTCAAACCCCAGGACAACGGCCTGTTGACTACCACATGTTTTTTTGTTTGTTTGTTTGTTTTTATCTGCTTGGTTTTCAAGGCGCCCACCAATCTGGCCCCTTCCCAAATATCCACACCTTGATTTTTCCCATGAAACCCATTCCTACCCCAAAAAGAAAGATAGCTTTGCAAATGCATCCTTCCCCGTTAGCTCTTGCTTCCTACCTAAATTGGAATAGTCCCCAATGGAAATCCTACCTGTCTTATTTAGGAATCCTTCTCTCACTGCCAGGGACTTCACTGGTTTTTCTGGGATTCTAACTTTGTGCAGCAAAGACCTCAGCCTTTAGGTATGTAGTCCTGGGTAACAGTCATTCTGACTATTAAGTTACGCCCTGTGAGAGCAGTCATCGGGTAGGATGCTTTTGGCTGTAAGGAAGAAAAAATCCAATCCAGATTGGTACAATCAGTAAAGGCTCGTGTAACTGAAGCTTCTCCTAAGGCTGCCCTAAGGCCAGGCTCAACCGTCACCCACCACCTGTCTTCTTTAGGTCTACCCCTTGTCTTCCTCTGGGAAGTTTCGGTGTCCCAGAAAGGCTGTCAGAGCTCCCAGAACCACACACTTCCTTATTTCTTATAGTAGGAAAGAGAGTCTATAACCCAGGGTATTCCCAGCAGAGTCCGGAGCGCCCCAGGAACATGTCTATGCCTAGCCAGTTTCTGCAGCCAGGGGGGCGGGATGTGCTGATTGACATGTTCCACCTGTGGAGCTGGGGGTACCTTCAGTTCTCCTAACCACATGGGTACTCAAGTAGAGACAGGAACTGGTGGCACAGGGGAATAGTCATGTGGGAGAGACGCCCCCGAATGTCCCTACGTGCTGTTTTGGTATTCTCCACGGAACACTGCCGGGCACACAACCGGTGCCCAAGGACTGACTGTCAGGTGTCTCAAAATACCAGCCTCTCCCCTGGATGTTCATGAGAACAGAAGCTAGGATTCTGTTGCTCTGGTCCCCGTTGTCCTCTCCTGCCACCCCAAGTGGTCACCTCACCTCTGCTTCTCACAGAGTCCTGTCTGTTACAGACAGACATGCCCACACCTTTGTTACTTTGTTTTAAACTAGGGACAAATTCTATGTGAGAGTCCCTAGCCCAGCCAGTGGCTCCCCCACCCGGCCTCCTGCTGTCTCAGGGTGGAGCCAGATCAATAGTCCTGAGTCTGAGGGTCAGCCCCCTCCCTCGCAAGGCTCCCCTGGGAACCCTGAGGGCTTCCCACTATGGCTGGCTCTTCTGGGGAGTGGGCAAGCCTCAGCTTTTGGGAATTGAAGCTACAATGACTTTTCTCTCCAATACCCTCCTCACCCCCTCTTCAAAGAGAAAGATGGAGAATAACACCCCCGACCCTTCTCCCCGCACCTGCCTTCCAAGGCCCCCTGTCACTCCTCTGCACATGCCCAGTACACTCAGCCCACAGTGTTCCCCTGGCTCACACCCATGGCAACCTGCTTGGCAACCCGGAGTCAGTTGGGCTGAGGCTTGAGTCCAACTGTCAAAAGGGGCCAAGGCCGAGGTGGAGGAGGCTGGGCTGTGGGTAAGTCTGCCTGTGGGTTCAGACCTGTGGACTGGAGCAGGGCAGACCCTCACAGGCTCTGCTGGGCAGGGGCAGTGCGATCGTGGGCCCCGAGTCACAGCTGCTGCCTCTGAGTGCGTAGGGAGGCCATAGCCCTGGGATCTCAGCGGGCCTGGGGCTGAGTTGGTCCTACAGGTGACTGGGTTGGAACGGAGGTCTGGCTTGGGCTGGGGGTCAGTTTGTCATCAGGGTTAGGATTTGTGAAGCGAAGTATGGCCTTACCCTCAGGAGTCCCTACACGTGGGGAGGGGGGGAGGAAAAACTAATGTATGCATTGAGCTACGCATATGCCAGGTGCTTTCCATGTACTATCTCCTGAGCGGTAACAAGCACACAGGTGAGGTGAACACGCAGGCCGAGGCTGTGAAGGGTTTAAAGCTGGTTGCTCTAAAATCACAGCTCTTGCTCTCTGCTGAACTGAGGTTCCCGAGGACACCCTGAGCGTCTGTGGGAGCGAGTGGGACCGCAGAGAGGCCGCTGGCCCCTGGCCACTAACCGCTCACCTTGCCCAAGCCCCTGTCCTCTGCTGGGCTGTGGGGCTGCAACTCAGACAACCATAGTGCTTGTTCTAGGTGGTGTCACCGAAGGCCATGGAATCCTCCGCAGAGCCTGGGGGGCCTTTGCCCAAGTACTGCAGCGTGGCCACCACCCTGGAGGCCCCCGCCTGGGCCGGCGCTGCTCCTCCCTGGGGCCTGTCCTTCAGCTGCCCCTTTGCCCTCCAAGCACCCTGGCTCACCTGGCACAGCCCTCTCACCAGGTACCGATCTCTGCCCCTCTCAAAGTGGTGTGCACCTTTTCCTTCTCTGTCCTGTGGCTCTAGATCAGTGGTTCTCAACCTTCTGGCCCTTTAAATACAGTTCCTCATGTTGTGACTCAACCATAAAATTATTTCGTTGCTACTTCATAACTGTAATGTTGCTACTGTTATGAATCGTAATGTAAATATCTGATATGCAGGATGGTCTTAGGCGACCCCTGTGAGAGGGTCGTTCGACCGCCAAAGGGGTCGCGACCCACAGGTTGAGAACCGCTGCTCTAGATAGTGAACCGTGAGGGAGAGAACACGCGTCCTGGGAAGGCCAAAGGGCTCTCCACTGCGTGGGTTATGATTTGCTTAAGTATTACATGACCCCAGTCTAAACTGAGCTCCCAGTGATCTCAAGGGCTGACCAGGCTGTTGTCCCACCTTGTAGCAGAGTGGCAGGTATCAGAGTAGGCATGTGGGAGAGAAGGCAATCAAGGCATCTCCATTTACAGTTTCTAGACCATTTTTTAAAAGTATTTTTTAAATATGTAATTTTTTAATTGATTTTAGAGAGGAAGCGAAGAGAGAGAGAGAGAAACATCAATGATGAGAGAGAATCATTGATGGGCTGTTTTCTGCACACCCCACACGGGATCAAGCCTGCAACCCAGGCATGTGCCCTGACCAGGAATCGAACCATGACCTCCTCATTCCTAGGTCGGCACTCAACCACTGAGCCATGCCGGCTGGGCTCTAGACCATTTTATCATCCACTATGGACTTACTCTGGCACTGAGTGAGCAATTAGAGTTTCTGCCACCAATAGCTCCAGGCCCCCCCTCAGGTTCCCTCCGTTATCCTGGCTTTTCCTGAATAGTATCCTCAGGTGCCCAAGAAGGGGAAAGGCAGCTCAGCCTACAAGCACATGCCAGCTGTGTGAGTCCCAGGGATTCAGGCCCATGCTACTCAATCCAGTCTGCCCAGGTTACGGACATGCCAGCTTGCACTCTTCATAGCCCCCTTCCTGTTCCTCCTATCTCCTGTGTGGGCCATCTCATGCAAAGCCAACGTTAAGCATCCCTGCATCCAGGCTCACCCAGAAAAGTAAACAGCTTCTTCAGAAACCCAAACCCTGACTCAACAATCATCTCCTCACCCCTACCCCACCCCCGGCTGTGGCCACAAAATTCCCAGAACTAGCTTCTCCTTTTTTCTGTCCCCACAGCCCCTCATTTGGCTCCTCTGTGCCTGCCCTGCTCAAGCGCTCCTTCCTCCCTCTGACCCACAGCGCCAAGCCATCTTACACATTTGCTCCTCTGTCATTTCCGTCCAAGCCTCCCCCCCTCATCCTGGAATCCCACACACCCACTTGGTATGTACCTTCGTGGTACTCTTTTCCTGGTCCGCAATCTAATCTCAGAACCAGCATTAATTGAACATACCAAGGCTAACGACATTTTGATTGCCCCGAAGCAATTCCCAGTCCTCACACAGTGGTTCCCTTCACTGTCCTCTCCTTCTGCCCAGGCTCACAGTTTATCTCCCCGGAAGTCCTTGGGGACACTCTTGGTGTGGATTTCTGTTCCACGCAGCTTTACATGTCATACACGTGCCATGGTGCTGCGCAGACCTGCCTGTGGAGCGTGTTTCTTGATGTTTTTAGGGCTTGGTCTTCTCTACTCCCTAATTCCATTTGCTTTTCCCCAGATGTGCATCGTATCAACCGTGTCTCCCCTCTGCTGACCCGGCACGGCAGGGGCCCGGCAGGCTGGGGGGAGTTGGAGATGCTGCTGGCACATGGGTCCTGGCAAGAAGGGGACCTGATGGCTTTTATTACCGGGCGCAGATAAAGACTGCTCCAGAGGCAAGTTGTCTCTGCGACAATGGGCGTACTTGTCCCTGTCCCTTCTCTAAATGGCCTCCGTGCGTGAGGAACCCCTCCCCCACTCCTGGGTCTGGTTCTAGCCACGGCTGTGTGGAACTTTGTGCTCCCTGTGGTACTTCCTAACTCCAGATCGTATTCTGAGTGCTTTCTTGCCCACAGCTGGAGAGGCAGGGGGCTCTGCTTGTGGAATTTGAGGCTCCCCTTGTCGCAGGCCCAGAGTTGCCAGCCCCGCGGCAGAGCGTGGTCTTAGGAGAAGATGTCATCCAGTTCTCGCCACCCTCACTGCAGCCTGGGGACAAGGTGCTGGCGCCCTGGGAGCCGGACAGACAGCGGTATGGCCCTGCCACTGTTTTGGGCTTGGAGGCAAGAGGCCCCCAGAGAGGTAAGGGAAGCTGCTCTGTCCTACCAGCCCCCGGAAGGAGCCAGGCTGGTGATCGGGCCAGAGGAGAGAGCAAAGGGTGTCTCTGTAGCTCAAGGGTCTTAGAGGCATTAAAAAAAACAAACAAAAAAAAACACCCCAAAATTCTTGCCCTGGCTGGTTTTCTCAGTGGTTAGAGCCCACAGACTGAAGGGTCTCAGGTTCGATTCCAGTCAAGGGCACTTACCTCGGTTGCAGGCTCCATCCCCAGCCCTGGTTGGGGTGCATGTGGGAGGCAACCAATCCATGTGTCTCTCTCTCATATAGATGTTTCTCTCTCTCTGTTCCCCTCCCTCCCTTCCACTCTCTCTTAAACATAAAAAAATAAGTGGAAAAAAATATGCTTGGGTGAGGATTAAGAGAACACATACACTCAAAACCCTTACCCCCTCACTTGCTGTTTAATCCTGGGGGTGGCAACAGATATATAAACCATATCTTTCAGATTAAAAACCATTTTTCATCAGGGTACAAGCACCTACAGCTACGACGCTCTGTTGGTTAGCTAACCTAGGGCAGGTGCGATGGGGTTAGCCTGGGTCACACCAGTACTCCTGGCCTGTCCCCACCAAGCTGTCCAGAACAGGGATAGTTCCCTTCTATAGGGCTGACCAGTCAGCATCACTGACATTCAGAGAATAAGAGGAGGAGGTTCCTCCTTCCCTTCCCCCACCCGAGGAGGCATTTTGGTTTTGACATGAAAATGGAGACAAGGAGGTGTGGTGGTAAATATGGAGCCTCTAACCCTGTGAGGGATGCTTCCGGCCGCCCGGCCCCCCCCCCCCCCCCCAGAAGTGTGCAAGGGAGGCAGGCAGAGCAGCGGGGCTGCGCTGAGTTTTGCCTTGGGGGATAGGAGAACCCTTCTCCCATGACATGGAAGTGCTGGTTGTAATAAAACGTTGCCATTTTCTATTATGCAGCATCCAAAGAAGAAATCACCGTCCACTTCTGGAATGGCAGGACAGCCACAGTGCCTCGGGGTGGGGCCTGGGGGGTGCCCCCTGCTGTCTGGAAGAAGGCTGTGGAGCGGCTGCACTGGCCTGTCACCAGCAGGCCCCCCACTACCCTCCTCTGGGCCCCTTGCTGCTCTCTGCTGGGGCCGGGCACTGGGTATGTCACTCACGGGCTTCCACTGGGCACCCCGTTCCTGTGCCCTCCCTGCCACCCCCGCACCTGCTGCCAGCTTCTGTGCCAGGGCTGTCCCGGCTGCTGCCCTTTGGCTGGACCCACCTGGTGGCCTCTCACCAGGACCTCGGGGGCCAAGGCCGGAGAACAACCAGAGACGGAGCTAAAGCCCAAGGTGCAGCCTCTGCCCCTAGAGGCTCCCAAAAAGGAGAAAGTGGCCGTGCAGGCTCCCATGGCTGTTTCTTCTTCCTCCTCCTCCTCCTCTGAAGAGGATTTGGAGAAAGATCTGGAGGCGGGCCTCCCTCAGAGGCTGGTGGTGGACAGCACAGTCACCTCCTACCCCATCCCCCCTGAGAAGACTCGGAGGAGGCAGGTGGGCCTGGACCAGCCCGAGTGGAGGTATTGGAGGAGGAACGGGCCTGAGCCGCTTCCTGGGAAGCCAGGTACACCTTCTTCTGAGGCAGGGCCGAGGCCCTTGCTCCTTCCCTCCCACGGGTCTCTTAGGAATCTGAGCCGCGTGACCACTAAGCCGGGGTTGGAAGTAAAACTTAGGAGAGTGGTCATGTTGAAGGGGAGTCTGTGGTGAGAGGGAAAGGGTAAGGTTTCCATTTAAGCAGTAAAGCCCAGCATGAAAGGACGGGCTGATTTTTATGCAAAGGTTTGCATCCCTATTGAACAACTAAAGGTTTGCATCCCTGTTGAACAACTGTCCTTCTTAGTCTCTCCGGACAGGGCATTGCCACTGTCTGTTTTTACTGCCCCCTCTCACCCCCCTTTGTCCTTGGAGGCCTTGATTTTTCTCCAGATGAATAGTCAAATACCTGCAGGTGTTGATCAGTCTTCAACGCCCTGAGAAGCAGAGAAACTATTTTTTGAACATTGGTCATCGGACCCTCCCCTCCAGAGGGCCCTTCAGTAAGTCAGAAGCAGGACACTGCATGATGCGGCTCGTTCTCTCCCACTCGAGGGAGGCAGTGCTCTTGCTGGCAATCCGCAGCCAGCCCCAGGCCTCCTCATCTTGAGCTAGGAAGGGGCTCTCCTTCGGGTACGGGGTCACTTGCTGCTCCGGGGAAGGTAATTCTTGGAGCTGAGCCATGAGAATCAGTGGACCTGTGTTCTGCCAGGGCCCAATCCTGCACCCAAAGCTGTGGAGTGTAGGCCTGAGATGGGGTGTGGAGAAAGGGTCATCCCCAGCCCTAGGCACAGACAGGGTACTACATACCACAACTAACTAAACGGTGTGTGCCCAACACCAGAGCTCTTCCTTCTCCCTCCAGACTTTGTATTCTTTAAAGGAAATGTACAGTTTTGTCTCCTAACTGTGCCTGGTAGTCATCAATACTGATGCTGACAGTCAGTCTTAGGCTCCGCCTCAGGATCTGCCTCTTACCAATCCTCCTGTATGGGTCCCTCCGCCCTCCACACGTGTTACTTTCAGGTACAGGCAGTGAGGTTCCTGTTTAATCCTAACCTAGCGATCCTGGAAAGGCCAGACTGTTGGCTGCCGGCAGCCACATTGCTCTCCTCCCTTGCTTGTGGTTAAAAAACAGGATTCAATCTGTAGTTTTAAGTCAGGAGGGGATGGATTTCTTTTCAAGTATCCCTTCCTTTTTAGATATGGCCCTTTTCCTCAGGAAGTCCCAGCCCCCGCCCCACTCAACCTCTGAACTTTCCCCCATCAGCTTAGGATCTCCTCTTTGTGATCAGTGTGATTGATAAGCTCCTTCAGCTGGTGGTGATTGGTTACCTTTGCTTCCCCTACTGCAGTGGTTCTCAACCTTGGCTCACATTAGAATCACCTGGGAATCTTTTTAAAATCCTGATTTCTGGGCCTCATCCTCCGGAAATTCTGTTTCTTTGTTACTAATGTTGTGGCCCCACCCCATAACAAAGAAACAGAATTTCCGGAGTTGGAGGCCCAGAAATCAGGATTTTAAAAAGATTCCCAGGTGATTCTAATGTGCAGCCAAGGTTGAGAACCACTGCCCTACTGGCTGTTTTGAAAAATTGGTTTGATAACTTCTACGCAATGCCAAACCTGGTGATCAGATACAACCTTCCTCAAAAACATAATAGCCAGAAATAATTAAGAAAATCTATTTCTTCTTTAAATATAGAGACCGTGCTAGGAGCTTATAGGTAGTGAAGAGATCCTTTGATCCTTGGCAGAGTTGTACCCAAGTCGTCCAGACTCATCCCATCAGAACGGTGGCCTATTCAGCACCTCATTGAATTTTGGGTTTAGGCAAAAGATGCCGCAGCATCCAGAAAGAAGAGAAGGGCCACAGGCAGCAGGGAGCACAAATGGCAGTAGTGGGGAATACCAAGGAGCTGGTCCTGGAAGCAACCAACGCAAAGCCTCTACAGACCCTGCCAGACACAGCGGAACACGGGAAACTGAGTCAGAGGACCACTGTGATGCGTCAGAGACACCGGAAGGCCTTCGACTAAAAGCCCTGAGGATCTAGGTAAAGCAGCATGGCGGGGAAGGGGCTGCTTCCTTTCTTGTGTGTGTTTTGTTTTCAGTTGACATTCAATATTATATTAGTTTCAGGTATACAGCACAGTGGACAGTGGTTAGACAATTATATAATTTCCGAAGTGACCCCCCAATAAGTCTAATACTCACTGGCACCATACATAGTTTTTATTGTCTATATTCCCTATGCTGTACTTTATGTCCCCGTGGCTATTTTGTAACTATCTTGTTTGCACTTCTGAATTCCTTGGGAAGGGGCTTCTTAAGGACTCCTTCCAAGGTTCTTTGACCTCTTGGGGTCACATCCCCTTTCAAAATAAAAACCATGGCTCCCCTTTCCAGAAAAATGCACATACCCACAATTTAAAAAAAATGTTTTTATTGATTTTAGAGAAAGGGAGAGGGAGAGAGAGACATTGATGTGAGAGAGAAATATCAATTGGTTGCCTCTGTATGCATCCCAACCAGGGATTGAACCTGCAATCTGGGTATGTGCCCTGACCAGGAATCAAACCGTTAACCTTTCAGTGCATGGGACGACACTCAACCAAGCCACACTGGCCAGGGCACCCAGAATTATTATATATGAGAGGGATATGCTAGTTAGCCCACATATGCTAATTAGTCACGACCAGTATGCAAGTTGACCATCACTCCAGCACACAAGATAGCTGCCCCCATGTGGCCACAAGATGGCCTGCAGGGGAGGGTAGTTGGGGGCGACCAGCCCTGCAGGGGAGGGCAGTTGGGGGCAATCGGGCTGGCAGGGGAGTGGTTAGGGGCAATCAGGCAAGTGATTGGGAGCCAGCAGTCCTGGATTGTGAGAGGGATGTCCGACTGCCCATTTAGGCCTGATCCCAGGGATTGGGACTAAATGGGCAGTCGGACATCCCTCTCAGGGTCCCAGATTGAAGAGGGTGCAGGCTGGGCTGAGGGACACCCCCCCACCCAGTGCACAAATTTCGTGCACCGGGCCTCTAATTTTGCATACAATTTCAAAAGGCTTACAGAACCTACAAAGGACATTATAAACTTCTTGGGGGTGCAAGGATCTCCATTTAAATGACCCCTTATTTGGTGATGGGCATGGGTCTGCTTTCCTAAGCCCCATGTCCCTGTGAGTCTGTTTCTCACTAGGAATGCTAACATAGCTCTACTTAAAATTTCGATTCATCACATAAAATGCTGGCATTTTTTCTGAGGAAAGACATGTTCAAAATGAGATGAATAATTAAACTGAAAGGTGCAATAATACTGTTGGTGTGGTCGCTTAAAGGTTAAGGACACATCTATGACTCTTTAAAATCAGTGACTTTTGATCCTTAAAATTACAGTCAGCATACGACCCTCAGGATTCTTTCTCTTATAGGAAGCAAAGGAGAGTGAATACCTGAGGAAGCGTTACAAAGTGGCTGGCACAGCCTTCAGTGGTAGAGTGCAGGCCACAGATGACAGTCGCATAAGCAGCAGCATCTTCACCCCTTTAAGACTTCCCTGCAGACGGGCACAGGAAGGTACCTGTCCTAAGAGCCACAGGAGTGCTGCCGGCCCGGCCAGGTCTCCCTGCCTGGTGAGATGAGCGTGAGAATGCTGTTCCACAGAAGTCACAGGTCGTGGTCAGCCTGTTTTGGGCAAGTGTATCCACAGCCTCTCTGCCATCTTTTCATAAAGCCTACAGTTGTACATGAATGACATTTTGTTGCTCTTAATACCAATAAAAAGGAATTCTCTTTATTTACAAATCTCTCCTTTTATTATCATAATTATCCTTTAGTTGGAAAGCAAGCAGTAAAAACTATTCAGACAGCATCATTATTACTTTTAGGCAAAAGAGGGTAAGAAGTTAAAAACTTTTGAGGTTAAAATAGGCACTGAAAGAGACAAGCTTCAGGTCTCAGGAAGGCCGGCCTTAAGAGCAGGATTAATGTATAAATATTAACAGAATCATATGGTGGCTTTATTCTCCTTGCTACTTAAAAAAAGGCAACGTGATGGTCTGCATCAGATGGGGAAAACCAAGTCCACACTTTCTCCTGAATCAACAACCACCACGTGAGTCTTCTTGGTTAAGTCATTTGCACCCACAGTGACAGAATAGGTCCCTGGATATACTTCTATGTAGAGGTCCTTAGAGATGTTCTCATCCTGGAAGGAAAGAGGATATTAGTGGGTTAGAGATTTTATATCCCAATGCCCAGGCACCTCCACCAGGCTTCCTTTGTGTGCCAGAGGCCGGATGGAAGAAAGCATTCCTGTGGGAGATGGAGGTTCCGTTTTCAAGTCTCAGCCACATAGTAGGACTATCCTTTAGGTAAGTCTCAGTGTCTCCTTAGGCTTGTTTCCTTTTTCTAAGACTTTGGTAATACCTACCTCACATGTGAGAACACTGTAGATGCTCAAGTGTTCTAGAAACATGAGTCATAAAAGGAACACTAGCTGGAGTAGAAAGATAAGAATTGGGTAGAGGAAAAGACTAAGGACATTGTTTTGGGGATCAAAAGCAGACAGTGGCACTTGTCACAGATGAGCAGTAATGGCAAGGCACCTTGGAGTGATGAGAATCATTCTTTTTTTATTTATTGATTGATTTTTCACAGAGAGGAAGGGAGAGGGATAGAGGGTTAGAAACATCAATGAGAGAGAAACATTGATCAGCTGCCTCTTGCACACCTCCCACTGGGGATGTGCCCGCAACCAAGGCACATGCCCTTGGCCGAAATCGAACCCGGGACCTTTCAGTCCGCAGGCCGACGCTCTATCCACTGAGCCAAACCGGTCAGGGCAAGAATCATTCTTTTTCATTATTAGGACAGTGAGACATTTCCTTTCTCCTAAAGCTGGGGATACTACGAGTAGATTCCTTCCTGTCATGCAGCAAGTCAGTTGGCTGGCAGAGCCCTCCCTGGGCAGACTGGTTCTCCCTGGTGCAAGAACCCTGGAGGCTGGAGTAAAGGGAAAGCTTTATGTTTGGAGCTGAGCTGAGCACAAACCTCCAATGACAGACTTCATGCAAGGCGGGGAAGTGGGTCACGGCAGGTGTGCAGACAGCAGGGTCTTAGCTCAGAACAGAGCCGTCACTAAGAGCCCGGCTCCTATTCCTCAGCTGGGATGCCACTCATGCTCACTCAGTGCTCAGAAGGAGCGGCAGGCAGAGCTGTCATTCCCACCACCACACTCGGTGGGGGAAACCAAGCCCTGGCCAGCAGATTCCACTAGGAGGATAATGATAATTTGTATACTTCCTCCCCCTCCACATGACAGACAGATCTGAAGCCAATTTTTTCCAAAGCTGCTTTATGTTATATCCTTTCATGTTTACCCCAGTTACTGCAAAATCAGGGGCCTAGAATCATTTAACTGATATGAATGTATGGGACAACACCACAACTATTTATTGGTTATCAACTATGTAAATAAAAGTAGGTTTCAGAAAATACAGCTGTATCAGAACTGCAGAAAGCCAAGGATGCCTGGTTTGTCTGGATAAAAGGAAATCAGGGGTAAGATCAGCATCTGTGCTTCCCACACCGTGAACATCTGGAAGATTAGAGATACCAAAGCCAGCAGGTTTTGGAGGCATCTAAGCCTAACTGCTTGCATTTGTACTAGCAGAATATGCGTAGTTGCTAAACTCTAGTATATTCTGAATCGTGGCTAGCACACTGTAGACAAACAAAAACTAAGCAAATGATGGCAGCAAAATGCTGGAGTTCCTTCCCTCAGAATTCCAGCCCTGGCCAGTTCCAGATTTCCCGAGTTTATAAACTAATGAGCACTTTATCCTAAAAATGAGAAACTCATCCCTATATGTTTTTACAGAGAAACATTAGTGGAAAATAGGAACAAGTCCCTTCAAATGTTTTGGAACCCGATCTAACCAAGTGTATATGTTTCAGAATTGTAGCGATGGTATTCACTTTGTAAGCAGAGGGGTCAGGCCGCTCCTGCTGCTCCAACAGATGGTGGAATTCCAGCAGGACCCGCCAGCCCAGCTGAGCTGTAGGAACTGAGATGTGAATACTTCGCATTCTTTTCAACCACAACTATGAGTCCAGGCACAGAGCACCCCTGAAGCTTCCAGTGGGGGAAGGATACCAAGGAAACATTTGACACTGAACCACAATGTGTGCACTCCCCACAAGGATAAAAACATCCCAACATGAAAATACTGCGGGCCCTGCACAAAGAGCTCTAGAGTCACCAGGTCAACTGGTTCATGAAATGGCCGTGTGGGGAGGCCAGCGGGGACACCAGGAGCTCCGTACTCACAGGCTGGGGTGCCTCGAGCGTACACTCTGTGGCTGGACAGACGCCTCCAAAACCCAGGGGCGTTTCTTGTCTCTGGAGAAACAAACAGAAACATCAGTGCCCAGGCTCTGACTTCTGGATAATAAAGAGAAATCTCCTACCTTATGAGGAACTAACCATTGTTCCATCCATTTTTCTAAGTTGTCACCTAAATTATTAAGGCTTTTAGTGAATCCTGTGGGGGCATTTTTAGATGTTCACCATGATTATTTTTTATCTTCCTTGGGCTGTGGAGTCAGATAAACCCGAGTTTGAGTCCTATGTCTGCTCTTTGCTGAGAAGGGCAGATTCATTTATCTCAGCCTTGCTGTCCTCATCAATAACATGGGGGCACTAGATTGCAAGGAAGATTTAAAGTGTAGAAGTGCCTGACACTTAACAGGCTCTCAGAAAATAGACTATTTACTGCTTGTCTTGGGAGTGGGGGCGCTAGTAGGGAACAGGCTGACCTGATAAAGTCAATTTCTCACATTTATAGGAAAGAATGGGAGGGATAGGAATGACTCTCGCTCACATGTGACCCCCTTATCGTCAGGCCAGAAAAGGGGAGCCAGCGTGCGGGCTGTGCTGTTACTCCTCATATCCCAGGCCGGGAAACAAGAGGGACTTCCAGCGTGCATCCAGCTCTCACTCGTATCCCTGTGGCCACGCTTCCATTCTTCCCCTGAACCCACCGGCCAGGGAAGTCAGAGATCCAACTGTGGATTCGACTCTGGATTTAAGTTCAGTATCTTTGAGTACAACTAGGAGTTTAAAAACAAAAACAAAACCATCTACTCTCCTCAAAAACAACAATGAAGGATTTCTGTTGAATCAGTTTCACAAGTAGAATATTTGTCTCTCCCAGAATGACGTGTGGAAAAAATAAGCAAGTTTGTAGTGAGAGGCCTGTGATATTATCTTTAGGAAAAGTATTTTGTTACAGAGACGTCCTCTTTGCACTTTCTTTTTTAAAGTTACCAAAGACATGATAGGTGTCACTAGCTTAAGAGTAAAATATGTGCTCATGAAAAATCTCTCTTCCCTATCCCTAGATGTAGAAGAGGACATCTGAAGATCTCATTAACCTGCCCAAAAATCCCGTGGCCCAGGATTGCAGTTTCATCGGAAGATCCCACGGTGGCATCAGTCTTATATTTTGGACATGTTCATGGCTGTAAGTTCTCAAGACTGGGGTTTGAAACATTTCTGTTGAGCACTGTAATGCTGAGTCACACAGGCATCTAATAATATAGATCCAGCAGGAGCTCCCAGACCTGGGGTCTCCCACCTTGGGAGGCTGGGCAGCACAAGACATGAGGATACACACCTGGCCATTCCCGAGGTCCGAGCACAAGTGCAGCTGCGACTTCCCTCTGTGATAACGATAGACGTGGGTTGCCCCTCCTTCCTCTGGCACAGATGAATAATATTTCTGGAGAAGTAACGGGAAAGATGTTGGGTAACCAAATAGATAAATTTTCAAAAAACTGTTACTTGGGCAAAATATGGTTAAGAAGGGAGACAAAAGAGCAAAGATAAGTTACCTGCCTGCTCGACAGGCCTCTGAGGTCATCTAACAAATCTTAGCCCGTGTAAAGTGGCTGCAGAGAAGGAAACTGCGTTTGGCATCACTTTGCTGCCATCTGCTGCCTCTGTCGGGCAAGAGCTCTGGCCAACTAAAGCTGGGCAGGGCCATGCTCTCTGCCAGCTTAAATAATTCTCTTATCTGCGCCCCCATGTCAGATACACATGCCCTTTCACCTCCTCTCATGACAAGTTCCGATGAACAGTTCTGCGTTTATTGTCTAAGTCTCAGACAAGGACGAGGGAAGAGAGGGGTGCATCGCCTCGAGATGTGGAAATACAACAGGAAATGTAACATAAACCCAAGAGCTATGCAGTCCGTTCTCCCCTGTGGAGGAAAGGAGGGTGAGGTCTCTAATTTAAGGAGGATAATCCAAAGGATCAGAAAGCCATTACATTTTTCTTGTCTACTTCCTTTCCCCCCTTGAAGTTAACCTTAGATGTGCCCCTGATTGTGACTAATGATGAGGACATCGCTGGCCTGCTTGTTCTGAAGACAGTGTAGGGTCAGCGTTTAAGGCATGAGACCAAAAGAATGAGAAGCAGGGGAAAGCGCTTCAAGACGTGGGTCTAATGAGGTACCTTAGGGGCTGCTTCAACACTGTGAAGGCAAACTCAGAATACCGTTCTGAATTCTATCTCGGAAAGCCAAAGGGTTCTGAGGCTCCATTCCATAACGGATACTTGAACTGAAAACCACAATGAAGAACACCAATTTGCTAAACCTCAAACCAAAGACAAATATTATTCCTCTTACTGAGCCATGAACCCAAGTTTAAGTTGGTCACTTTACAGTAGAGCCCAAGTTATGAATTTTTCTAAAACCATTTAACAGAATAAGGACATAAAAATATTCTCTGAACTATATCTCATTGGCTGGATCCTGTTCTTGGGAGTCACAGGGATTTTATACAAGATGTAGAAAGATTAGTGATTTTTTGGAATCTTAACATATTAAATTGAAAAGCAGGACAGAAACAAGGTATTCTCTTCCTTCTCCCTTTCAGACCAGCATCCTTACAACCATAAAGAATCATAAAGAAGTTAAGGGTGGAAGAGACCCAGCATCTGTTGTAATTCTCAGATGATAAAGAGTGCCTTCCATGCAGGTGATTTCCTTGAATGCTGGCTGGCCTGCCTCCACCATTCCCTCAAAGTACTTAAAGATGACGTTAGTATATACCTTTGAGAAGAGGGTCTTAAAAAACCTTGTTCAGCCATTTCAATGAATGGTACCAAAAATCCTAAGTCCCTCATGCTACAGTTTATGAAATTTCTGATGTTCGTCTCTCAGTGGAAACCAAGAAAGAGACGGTAAAGGCTGGCAAGGATTTGAGAGACCATTTTTTCCACGGGGAAGGGAAGGGTGAGAGCGACTAACTGGCCGAAGGCATTAGTCAGGATGTGGCAGAACCTGGATGTGACTCCTGGGAGGCTGCTCCTGCCATTAAGCCACACCGCTTCCGATGAGGGAGCTGCATCTGTTCACAGAACCACCTTCGTGGCCACCAAGCGATACAGACCACAGGGGCCTACTTAACGACGACATTACCAGGCACTTGAAACAGAGGTTAAATTCCTAATGTAGGGATTTTGTTTCAGTTTTTGTTTCAATACATTTTGAAAACAGAGAGGCTCAGTTCCAGTTTATGGTGACCCTACTGATTTTTTTTAAGACTCCCTGTCAGAAGTGTTAAAAAGGGCAAATAGTTGGATTTGATTGTTTTAGAATTCAGCAAATAAGCTTTTTCCCTCCTACTAGTCTGAAACAATAGTGAGAGCAGAGACCTTTTCTGACTTGTTCACCGCTGTATCCTCAATAACAATTCCTGAATTAGGCATTCAAACAAATAGCTGTTGAATGAATTCTAACATGGATTTACCACCTGGTTTAAATCCTTGCGTGATTACAATCCGCCCACAAAGATGGGGCAGTGTGAACTGGTAGTCTCCAGATTCTCCCTAAACTCCACGAAGACCCACTTTGTGATCCATCACCAGGCAGAACGGGGCATGGCCGCAGCTTACACCAACTTACCCCACACTGACTTGAAGTATAGTCCATGAACTCCGCCATCGTTCTGAAAGAAGCACTGAGGGTTGGGCATCTTTCTTCTCTCTATTTGAATAAATGGCAAGTGACAGGTGAGATCTGGTATTCCCTCCTGGGGAGTGAAGTCATTTAGGGAATAGCTTCCTTTTTACTTTGCGAAAGGCTTAGAAACTTCAAGTCAGTAAGAAGGATCTTACTGAGAAAGAATTCCAACTCCACAAGGAATCCACTGACATGCAATTTACCCAGGACAAAGACTGGTTTGCGGGCTTTCTTCTAATATCAGATGGTGCAAGTAAAGTTTTTTTTTTAATAAAGTAACTAACCAGGGCTGAGCAGCATCCTAAAGCTACCCAATAATGATCTGTCAAATGTGGCGAGTTTTCAAAGGGCTTTTCCGTTCCTGTCCTGATACTTCACAGCTTTCGCCAAGAGCAAGATCCCTCAGCTGCTTCCGCGTGGCCCGTGCCCCGGGGCCCAGCGGGCCACCGCCGAGCGAATGAATGGGCTGGTCCCCGGCACAGGGGCCCTCACCTCTCCGGGGAGAAGGCGCTGGGGCCGGCCGCGGGCCATCTTTCTCGGTAGGGCCGCTCCGGGAAAATGTCCCCCACGTTGCTTTTGGCCAGAGAATGCCAGTCCACTGCCCTCCTCTTAGCCCGCTCCAGCACTTCTTGACCCAGCCTAGCCGAGCGCTGCAGGGAACGCCGGTCCATCCCGTTTCAGCGCCGCGACCGCCAAATAGTTCTCCATGTCTACCTAAGCGGGTACATACACACACACAAGGGCGGGTCAGCCTGCTGCCGCGACCCGGCTCCAGATCCGGGTCGGAGCCGGGGCCTCAACCTCCCCAGCGACCAGCGCTCCCGGCTCCGCCCCCCACGCGTTATCCAGCGGCTGCCGGGTCAGGGCGAGCCGGTGCGCGCAGACCCCGTCCATTTCCGTCTCCCCCTGCCCTCATAGGAAGCCCTCACCCAGCCCATCTCTCAAGGCGCATGCGCTCCACGCTTGGGCGGGGGTGGGGTGGGGTGGGGCGGGGCCTGGAGCACTCAGCGCCGGCGCAGCAGGAGGGTGAAGGAGGCGGGGCGGAGCGGTGGGACGCAGGCCATTGGTGGGTGTCGAGAGGCGGGGCGCGCGTTCTACGCCGGACACGCCTCCTGCGTACGGTCCGCGGTCCCTGCGTGGGGTAGCGGAGCAAGAGGCAGAGCGCTGTTGGCGTGCGGGGCGCGGTGGTCGACGGAACCTGCAGCCAGGGCGGCCAGGGCGCGCTGTCGGGGGAGACCCCAGGGCCTGGGGCCTGGCCCTTGGAAGTCATCTCCGCTGTTTAACGTGATGAATGAACTTGGTCCCAAGTCAGGTGGTCTCCTGTTGGGTTGAGAAATTGTGGGAATAAGACTCGTGTGTCCGGTTTCCTCTTTCTGCCAGGTCAATATTTTGGGATATCGCTACTTTTATTTGAAGAGATGGCTAGGACAGACCGAACAGTACGGCTGCCAAGGTGGCCTTTGGAGAAGGAAGTCTGGCCAGCGGGCTGTGGACGGGATCGGGGGTCGGGGGAACGTTCAGCCATTAGAAGGCAGGTATTTCTGGCCCACAGCCAGAGGGCGCCTGAGTTGTGTAGGGCAGTGGTTCTCAACCTTCCTAATGCCACGACCCTTTAATACAGTTCCTCATGTTGTGGTGACCCCCAATTTCATTGTTACAAATTGAACATAATTAAAGCATAGTGATTAATCACAAAAACAATATGTAATTATATATGTGTTTTCCGATGGTCTTAGGCGACCCCTGTGAAAGGGTCGTTAGACCCCCCAAAGGGGTCGCGACCCATAGGTTGAGAACCGCTGTTGTAGGGTAATCTTAATCCTCGAGGGGCAGCTTCCTCACCCTTCCAGTGGAAAGTACGGACTCACACATTTGTGTGAGTTAAACCCACCTTTTAAGAATAGTTGAACCACGTGCATGTAAGGAATTGTGCATTGTTACTTTCCACATCATTCCATTCGGATATTTGATAGATGCAGCCCAAGGCCTCGCTGTTAATTATTAGTGATTCCGCCCCGCGTGGAGCAAAGCACTGATGCTCAGAGGGACCACTTTAAGAGACAGGGAAATCAAATGCTCACCTGGGCTTCTCAACCGATGGCTTCATTAGCAGTTCTGAGCTATACCACCTATGTATCAGGATTCATACGAATTTTTGCTCATTTTCTGCTTTCCTCTCAAAAAGTTGACAACTGGCTTTAAATTATGGCCCTGTCACTTTTGCTGTGTGATTCTGGGTAAACAAATTATTTAAATCCTTTGAACCTCACTTTTATCCATACTTGGGGATACGAATAGTACCAACCTATCTAGACTGTAAGCTTCTTGAAGGGACCATATTTGTCTTCTTTAAGGTGCATCTAGTATTTTATCTGTCACAGAAGGGGCTAAAAATAGCTATTGTGAATTGGGTTGCTGTGAGAATTCTGTGAAATAATTCCTGTAAAATGCTTAGCACAATGCCTTGCAAAGAATAGGTGCTTCATAAATTTAGTTAGAATTAATATGTACCAGGCACTGTCCTAGGAGTGTGGAGAATGGGAAATGGATCAGACTAAAGGAAAATAAGAAAAAACAAAACATAAAATCTGTAGTGTCGGGAACAAAATGTGACTTGTCATAAGATTGAAACAGATAAAGTGATATGAAGCCCAGAGGAGAAAGAGATTGTGTTTGGTTGGGGGGATCAAAGAAGGCTTTGTGGAGAAGGAATTATTTCAGATAGACCTTGAAGGATGGCCTAGGAATTAATGAGAAAGGGGGTGGCTAAGATACCTATTAACTGCTTTTGTAATGAGTGTGGTTAGGGATGAGATCATTTCTTGTTTTTTATTACTTATGGACTTCAAGATCCTGGCGCCATAAATTTTAGCTCTGTCTGTGTAACCATGAACAGGTTACTTAACTGTTGTATATCTCAGTTTTGTTATCTATAAAATGGGAATGATAGTAAATTCCTCATAGGGTTGTTGTGCAGATCAAATAAGTTAATAATTGCAAAGTGTGTTGAATAGTATTTGGCATAAAGTAAGTGCTCAATGAGTATTAGCTAGCATTATTAACTTAATCAGACTGCATGCTGGCTCCTGGTATGCCCTCACATGATTCTACAGCCATCTCTCACCTCACTTGGCTCTTCCCCAGGATTCTATTGCTACCCACTTACCCTATTTTGGTTCAGTTGAAGCATTACTTCCTTGTCAAGTCAAATCTTTGAAATCTTCTTCAGTTATTCCTGAGTTGCAATCTCTGTTTCCATAGCTATAAAAAATATATACATTGTGGTACTTACTTCACTTGATCTGATTTAAATTATATGTAGTTGTAATTCATTCTCTTTCAACAGCTATGGACTCCTCAAAGGCAGAAACTGTACCATAGGTGTCCCTAAATATCCAGGGCCTGTTAATTAGTGGGTATTCGATAGACATTGTTGAATAGACTGATTTAATTTTTAATTTAAATAGATCCCTGTTAGGGGGAAAAAAAGAGACATATGTAATACTTTCAACAATAAAGAATAAAAAAATAGACCCATTAGGCCAGATAAGAGTTGGCTATAAAAAAATAAAATCTACCTACATGTACTTTAAAGAATGTAATGAATATTCAGTTATAACTAATTTTCCCAGAATTTAATATTTAGAAACATATAGGAAAGGAGATGCTTAGAATGAAATCGAAGCCTAAAAACTGACACTAAATTTTGGCATTTATTTTCATATTTATAAGTATATTTACATATGCATACATCTGTATATATAAAAGGCTAATATGCTAAGTGTCCGACTGTTCGACTGTTAGCTATGATGCGCACTGACCACCAGGGGGCAGACGCTCAATGCACAGGCATGGAAACATGGAACAGACTGATGAATCTCAGAGGGGAGGGGAGAGGGGAGAGGGTGGGAAGAGATTAACACGTAACGTGCCAAGCCTGTTTTGTCTTCCTTTCCATTTAGCCTGCGATATCCGATTTCACCGATATGCTGGCAGCACCAGTGACTGACCGGTCCAGACGGAAAGTGTAGTGTCAGTCACCAGTGACTGACATGGTGCTTAACGTGTTAACCAAAGATTTTATATGCATGCTAGAGGCCTGGTGCACGAATTCGTGCACTGGTAGGGTCCCTTGGCCTGGCCTTCGGGAACCGGCCGAAACAGGCAATCCGACATCCCTCATGAGGTCCCGGATTGCAGAGGGCGCATGCCAGGCCGAGGGACCCCACCAGTGCGTGCACAGGGCCTCTAGTGGTTTTATAATTTCAAGATTTATACTGTAAACCACAGATTAAGAGTCATTTTTTTCTTTTTAAAAATTGCATGGAAATAAGATTGATGGAACATGACCTACCATCGGGGCCCATGCCGGTCAAACACATCCAAGCCAGGTACTTGAGAAAGCCAGCAGTGAGACTTGGAAATGGAGCAGAAACCAGAGGAAGGGCAAATGCTCAGGAATGTGCCTAATCATCAACAGAGAGAGCAACTGTTGGTGTAAGTCTTTCATGATTTCTCACTTCATGAGGGTAAATTCATTACAGAGAACACATAGAAGTTACATGTTTTGGGGGCTAGATGAGTTGGAGGAAGTCTTTATTCCTGAGAGCTGAGAAAGGAGATTGGTGCTGTATATTTTGGAGACATTTTAAGGAGAAAAAACAAGTCTAGTGAAGCACAATGTAAATTATTTTTGTCTATGTGAAGGGAGCAAAAAAAGGGTTAAAAACTTAGGATGCAAAAGTGGGTGTCATGCCTGAGTTAGACAATGATTTATACTGTACATACCAGAGAATGTATAAATTATCTCATTTGACAGGTGGTATTTTTATTTCTTCAGAAGACTTAGGAGCTTTAGGATTATTACAGCTTTGTAAAGTAGTATTATAGTATGAGTCATCAGATCATTCATTTTGCCTGATTACATCAACTCATTGGGTTATTGGGGAATGAAAGAAACTCATGATCAAAATTACCATCTTGATTATATAGATCAGTGGTTCTCAACCTTCCTAATGCCGAGACCCTTTAATACAGTTCCTCATGTTGTGGTGACCCCCAACCATAAAATTATTTTCTTTTTTTTAAAATATATTTTATTGATTTTTTTTACAGAGAGGAAGGGAGTGAGATAGAGAGTTAGAAACATCAATGAGAGAGAAACATCGATCAGCTGCCTCCTGCACATCTCCCACTGGGGAAGAGCCCGCAACCCAGGTACATGCCCCTGACCAGAATTGAACCCAGGACCCTTTAGTCCGCAGGCCGACGCTCCATCCACTGAGCCAAACCGGTTTTGGCCATAAAATTATTTTCGTTGCTACTTCATAACTGTAGTTTTGCTACTGTTATGAATCGTAATGTAAATATCTGATATGCAGGATGTATTTTCATTGTTACAAATTGAACATAATTAAAGCATAGTGATTAATCACAAAAACAATATGTAATTATATATGTGGTTTTCTGATGGTCTTAGGCGGCCCCTGTGAAGGGGTCCTTCGACCCCCAAAGGGGTTGCGACCCACAGGTTGAGAACCGCTGATATAGATTAAAGAAAATGAATCAAACTTCTGAGAATTAGCTTTTACAACCTTTTAAAATTTACTGGAGGTTAAAAAATAGGTTGCAGAGCAGGAATGATTAGGGATAAGTTTTGTCACTTTAAAAACTATCAGAGATTGAAGGAATAGTAATTTGGAAGATATAAATAGTTAGAATTCATGTAGAGTTTTAAAAAATATGTTTTTTATTTCAGAGAGAGAGAGAGAGAGAGATAGAAACATCAATGATGAGAAAGCATCATTGATCAGCTGCCGCCTGTACACCTCCTACTGGGGATCAAGCCTGAAACCAGAAACCCAAAACCCCCACATGTGCCTTGACCAGGAATGGGACTGTGACCTCCTGGTTCATGGGTCAA